AGATTTATTTATTTTTTGATAAAAGTCGAATTATATTTTGGTTGGGATTTATTCGTTTAATAGTAGTAAGTACCAAATCCATAAAAATAATAATGGCTTAAAATTATATTTACAGCCCTACGCTAAATGCATTTAAAGTTCTTTTCCCCCTATTTACAAATTAGCACATTTTCAAAAACAAATGTGTGAGTAATCATGTTATCTAGCACAAGAAGACCTTCTCTCACTGTTTATTTTCAATACCACCCAGCCCTCGATATAGGACAATAGCAGATGGGGGGTTTGTAGTCAACGGAAGAGACCAGAAATAAGTCCCATGAGGAGAAGCCAGTGTTTACAGCTGGGCAAGCAAGGGAATGTGCTCTAAATATAATACAGTGCCTACCTCGAAATCACACATTAAACGAGGCGTTTCATGAGTAGAATAATCAACGGCATAATATATATAATAACACCCCAAAAAACCACGCTGGCACAAAACAACATCGCGCCTTTGTTGTGATGTAAAACAGGATTTGGTCAGCTTATGGCTGATCATGACTTTAGCAACTCAGCTAACGTTGGCTAGGTCAACTCGCTCGCGTTTGCTATGATAACAGATCGATAATAAACACGGGTCATAGTATTCTCCCATCGAGGTCTGAAGAGACTAAAAAAGTAATCTACATGCAATGAGCAAATATATGATTCAGTGTAGTCCCAAAGTCACCCATTTCGATACCCCGTAAGGAGCTTTCGTTAGCTTAGCCTGCTAGATGCTGCTAAGTTTGCTAACATGGCTTGTCCAGCCCTTTCGCTTGACTTCTCTCCCACTTCGTCCTGCAGTACTACACAGGAAGTGGAGCAGAAGCCGTTATTTAACTACTAAAAACCTCAACTGCCCGAAAACACTTTACAAATGCCAGCACAGCGCCAAAATATTAAAGAAAACTCGGGTTAAAAAGTGCCATTACCTGCCATCTTGAGCGTCGGCTCGGCTCTGCGGGCTGCCGTCCCGTGTGGGCTGTCACCGCCGCACAGCTGTCACTCAAACAATGAGGCAAACTACTTCCTGAAAGTACTTCCTGATGCTGCTTTTCACTGGTTAATTACGTATTAAACAACTATATCGAAAAACGTTACTCATCTCGGGCAAAAACTCGACATAAGTGAGATTAAAATAGCGCCTGTGGGGAGGGCTTTGTGTATCTCCAAAAGAAAAAAAAGGAGAAAGGAAGAAAAAAAAGCCGAAGCAGTCACGTGATCGCATGCCGTAGTTCAAGATGGAGACTCGGCGATGTGGTGGAGGTAGCTGTTTACAATAATCACAACATGGCAAATACGACGACCTGCAGGACGTTTTAACGTTTACAGCGAGAGTTGTTACCCAACCTAAGATGTGCGTATGCCAGCTTCAGAACACGATCTTGTAAAGTTGTTTGTAAACAAAGACCACCTGAAGAATATTCAAGATTAAAAAAAAAAGGCAAGCAGAGGAGAAAACAGCCAATGATCTTCATCGCAAATTCGATGTGAGAGAGGAGATCGATATGGCTCTGAGAGAGTTAAAAGTCTGCCTCTTGGGGGTGAGTAAGCATCGATATTTTTCAATCTGATTGTACATATGCACACTTTAACTGGAGCATTAATGGAGCCTTCCTGCTCTACTTCCACATAACACATACCTATACTTCTCTAATGGACCGTAATGAAAATTTCTGATATAGTGAGTGGCAATACAACCTCAAAATAAATAGATCTGCGCCAGTGACAACACTCATGCTTATCTACATTGAATTACACTCAGTAGCTGCACAAGGCATCAATCACTTGATCAACGTCCCATTCAAATTGTATTATCCACTACTGGAGGAACATCCTCACATCTTCTCTTCTCTGTCATCCACTTACAGGATTGTTGACAATATTAGTCAAGCTATTAGTGTCACTATTACTCAAATTAGAAAATAGTCAGCCTGCTGCTATTTTAAGAATAGATCAGGTAAATCTCAATCATTAGTGTCAATGTAAATTTAATATCTTTAAGTTCTGATCTCTTTTGGACAAAAACAAGACATTTGGCGTTGTCACATTGCTCTCTAGGAAACTATGCGTACATTCATACTCTAAAGTTGTGATAACCTGCAAAACCTCACTATTAACCCCTACAGCGGCTCTATTTTGATAGCAGGAAGACTTTGCTGGTTTGTATTTAGCGACGTCCTTTGCGTGGTGTGGTCACCTCTACCCTGTCACTGACGGTAATTTCTAACAGGAAACGTCATTCATAGGCCATGAGGGCTCTCTGAATGGAATGACCAGCATGAAAACAATGTCTGCTATGACACTGACAGTCATCTTTCAAATCACATTTTGTGCTGACTTGTCAGACAGGCCTTCCACCACCATCACTGAACAGCTTACATAAAAGTGGCTTGGGCACCTTTAGTAGAGTTTCCGTGACTCAAATCTATGGTGCGGTGAAGCTGCACTGCTGGTTTATTCGGCAGCTTACCAAAACATTTTGTGTTGATTTTTTTTGTCCCTTCATTTCAACACACATCTGTAGCTATGTTAGACAGCATTACTAGTCATTCCTGCAGTATTTATTTACAAATGAGGCTCATTAACTTAATGCATATTTTAATTGGAAATAAAGACACAACAAAACAGGATGATTAGCCATTCATTTTCTGTAGATCTACTAATAAGATTAAGATAGCATAGAGACAATAAGCTAGTTCATTAACTAGCAGACTGGAATTATGACAACCCTGATTATGTATCATTTTGGTCATCTTTAAGATAATTAAATTAGTTAAAACAAGATATGTTACTGAATAAATGGTTAACTGATGGACCACACAAACAAAACATCCATGTCTAGACTGCTACAGCAGCAGCATAAACCACCATTGTCTGTGGGCGTATCTCGTGATAATGCTCAGGTCAGACTTGTCCTCTTCTTTTTCTCCTAATGTAAACAATGTAAACCCTTTTCCCTCTTCCATAAGTAATTTACAGATTTATACCAGCAGTGGCAGGAAGGAAGCGGATCCCATAAAAATGTTTTAATGTCCAGGCATATTGCCAAAGATTGTTCTCATATTCTTCAAGTACCATGTTTAGTAAGCATGATCTTTATTTTGTCTGTGCAGGATACTGGAGTTGGAAAGTCAAGTATTGTTTGGAGATTTGTGGAGGACAGCTTTGACCCAAACATTAATCCAACTATTGGGTATGTTCTGCTGCCTTCCACTTCCACAGAAGTTTTATTTTTTCCATCTCCCTCATTTGTTGTAGTTTTACAGGTCGTTATGATGCCCATTAGAGTTATCAGTTAACCACTGGCAAAGAAATGGGCATGAAAATCACTTCTTAAATAACTCGTTTGCTCCAGATTTCAAAATATCTGGACTTTCTTGTGTTCTTTGTCTGTGGCTAAACTAAGTAACTTTGGTGTCAAAGACTTTTTCATCCAACAAATTTTTGAACGTATTATGAACAATATTTGTTTTCTGACATTTTCGAACAAGGAACTAAGAAAACAGCTTTACAACTGAACTGTGCAGTTTTGACATTTAGCCTTTCATAGGGGGCGATCGTGGCTCAAGAGTTGG